GCGTCCTGTACGAATGTTCTGAGATTACCCTGGAGATGCCCAAAGAGTGTGCAGACTTTCGGGGCAGCGGGCAGAGCGCGGGGGGAGGGGAAGGTCTGTGTTTCAAATGCTCTCTTCACCCACCCTCCCTGAGGAGCTCCATGTCCCTTCTGTCACTTCGCGGGATGGAAACCAAGGGCCTCGGCCTGTGTGGAGGGACGGAAGGAATACTTAGACGGGGTCACGGGACGGGGGACGGGACGGGATGGAGAGCAGCCCATGGGGCGCTCGGCGCTGTTTTACGTGGGGAAAATCTGAACTCAGAGCCGCCTAGGGCCTTGGTGTGGCAGCGACTGCAGAGTGCGGGCTCTGTCTCAGACTCTGCCCCTTGCTCCGGCGCGGAGTCAGCAGTATTCCTTCCTCGCCTCCCGCAGCCTCGCTCCTGCCCCCGGGACGCGGGGGCTTGGGGCCTAGTCTGCATGCACTGACCTGCTGGGCCGGGCCCTGGGAGAGGGCTGGGTGTTTGGGGGCGGCCTCGCCCCTGCTGTCCGGGCCTCCCCCCTGCAGGCCGCCTCCGGCTGTTCTCCAGGAGCCCCCAAGGCGTTTCCCGGCTCATTTCTGTTTTCGTCCGCAGGGCGGGGCGCCGGAGGATTTCAGCAACCTGCCCCCGGAGCAGAGAAGAAAAAAGCTCCAACAGAAAGTCGATGAATTAAATAAAGACATTCAGAAGGAGACGGATCAAAGGTAGAGGGGCCGGCAGTCCCTGGGAAGCGCGCCTCGGGCTGGGGGATCCAGGCGCTGACCTGGGCCAAGGGAAGGGCTCGCGGCAGCCGGGCTCTCGGGCGGCCTGCGGCGCTGACCACGACGGGCTGGGAGATCTCGCGTCAGTCGGTTCTGTTCTGAGCCTGGGGAGCAGAATACACAGGAGTATCTCTCCCCATAGGGCGTAGGTGAGCGGTTTTGTACCAGTGAGGACGGAAGAGTGGCCTGGTCCCGCCCTCTCCCCGCACCCACACCCCAGCTCTGGGATCAGTCACCATCAGTCTCCCCTTCTGCTCGCCCGCCTGGGCTGCTTCCCTTTGTATAGAGTGCGGTGCCGGTGACCAGAAAACAAATNTGCCCGCCCGGGCTGCTTCCCTTTGTATAGAGTGCGGTGCCGGTGACCAGAAAACAAATCAGCATCTTACACGCACACCAGCCCTTAGCAGCGTCAGCCGGGCCCTGCTCTGGGGAAGGGGTGCCCCGCCCCCGCCCCAGGGGCTCTCGTTTCCTGAGCTGCTCCTAGGGATGGTGCGGTGGGTGGCGCAAGGGGGGAGGTGATCTCTCTCTCCCTTTATCCGTCCCTCCCTGCTTTTATAACTGTCACGCTTCCCCATCACTTAGAGGGTACTTGCTAATGGTCCGGACTGATTGAAAGCCCTTTTGCTAATGGTCTCACTGAGCACTTCGGGTGAGTCGTTCCTCTAGTTGAGGTTTGAACTTGGGCTTGTCTAAGAGGTAACTTCAGGCTTTGTGCTCCATAGAGGCCCACGTGCCGACCCCACGTGCGTTTGGTTGTGTTGAAGCTGGGTTAAAATGTGGTTGTGCTGGAAACAAAGTTGCTAGATCCCTGCACAGGGGTCGCCGCCTTCACCCTTCTGCCTCTGTTAAGGCGGCTCCTGAGAAACATTGTTGCACGTAAGAGACAGTGGCAGGCGTCTGACTAGGTCGTCCCACTTCTGTATCAGAATTTACTTCCTGAAATGAACATTTTTGTCTTTGTACTTTTTCTCACATGTGGGACGGGATACAGAGGCTTTATGAATATATAAACCTAATCAGACCTCTTGCTGCTTAATAAGTGAGCAGCTATATTTTGTACAGGAGGGAGAAGTGAGGACCCAAGTGTCTGAAATGACATTTTATAGGGTGATGACAGGCTCCCCTTGTCCAACACCGTGGAGCAAAGCTTCTCCGTCACTTGGCCGTGGGACCTGGTTAACCTCCCAGCCCCACCAGAGCCCGTGACGGTGGGAAGGCCAGTCCCGCCCAGCTGTCCCTCCATGACCTTCCGCTGGGTATTTACTGTGCCCAAGGAAAGGGCCGGGGCCTGAGGATAAAGCAGTGAGCAAAACATAAGCACTCTGCTCTCGTGCAGCTCACACAGTGTGCAGAATAAATGACTGTGAGCAGAGAGGACATTATTTGGAAATGGTTTTGTTGGTTGTTGTTTTTTTTAATTTATCTTTATTGTTGCAAGTATTACAGAAGTCCCCTTTTTTCCCCCATCGACCCCCTCCATCCGGCACCCAGCCCCCCTCCCCCAGAAATTTTTTTTAATAGTCAACCCAAAAAGGCAAGGCAGGAGAGGAAAAATACGTAGAGCGGGCAGGACAGATCAAAAGCACAGATTTGGATGGTGGATGTGAAAGACCAGGTGCCCCAGGCACCCCGGATTCAGATCTGACCCCCTTGTGCTACTGCGCACTTCAGACGAGCGCCTTAGCCCCTTGGGACTCAGTTTTCTCATCTTTAAAAGGGAGTTAGCGTGAGGATTAAACATGTCAGTGTTTGCAGGGTGCTGAGAACAATGCCAGGCACGTAAGTGTTTGTAAAATAAAACGAATCAATATGGTAAATGTAGAGGCTGTACGGTTCCAATTAAAAGAGGCTTTCAGGCTGGACACGAACCCCAGATCACCTGTACGTCTACGAAAGACGCATCTAACGCGTCACGTATAGCAAGTGTGGGCGTTAAAGAATGGAAAATGCACACGGCGCAAATGCCAACCGCGAGAAACTGGCCTGGCGACTGACTTCCAGCGCCCCCAGGCTGCTCAGCTCAACAGGCCCATCGTAACCAGTCATTCAAATAAAGGGTTCAGTTCGCCAAGAAGATACAAAATTTTAAGTCTGCAGGACCATCGTAGCTGAGGACAGTGGGGAGATCCACCCCGAGAAGGCAGCTGAAGTTTTAATGTCGGTCTCTGGGCTATGCAGGCCTGGGGAGCAGCGCCCCTGAAGAGACGGTTTAGAGGGAGCTGCCCCCGTGCTCCCCTCCCTCCCCCGCTCGGCGCCAGGCCTCCCAGTCACATGGTTCCCGGGGTCATCGGGGAACATGACTGGCGGTGACACTAACCCTTCCCGCCTTCTGCTCCTGTTTCTCAGAGAGGCCATCACGAAAATGAAGGACGTTTACCTGAAAAACCCTCAGATGGGAGACCCCGCCAGTCTGGACCACAAGTTGATGGAAGTCGGCCAAAACATAGAAAAGCTGCGACTCGAGGCCCAGAAGTTTGAGGTATGGCAAGGCTGTTGCTGCGGGGGACGGGGGGAGGAAGCGGAAGGGACCGGCGTCGCGGGCCACCTGCGGTCACAGAGCACGCAGCATTTCTCACTGGGAGGGTGCTGCCGGGAACGCCGGGGTCACGGGCTGTGGTGGAAGGAAACAGTCATCCCACGAGGCCTGCTTCCACCACTTCCTGTTCAGCCCTGGCCCGTGTGGCTCAGTGGTCCGAGCTTCGGACAAGGACCAAGGGGCCGCGGGTTCAATTCCGGGCCCAGGGCACATCCCGGGTCGCCGGGTCGATCTCCAGCCCCTTGGGGCTCGAGCAGGAGGCAGCCCATCGATGTGTCTCCCTCACGTAGATGTTTCTCTCTCTCCCCCTCCCACTCTCTCTGGCAGGCAATGGAAAAAATATCCTCAGGCGAGGATTTTTTTTTAAAAAAGCACTTCCTATTTTAATCATGTCCCTTCAGACTGGCACTGTTGAAAGCCGCATTTGTTTGGATGCAGTGTTGTGTTTCCATTTAAGTGTGTGACTTAAGTTGTGCTATAGGACATCTCTCACTGGCGAAGTGTAATTGGGAATGTATCGGCTATCGCTCAGAGACCCTAAAGCACGTTGCACTGAGAGATGCTGCTCCTTCCGAGGACCCAGTATCAGAAGGTTATAGGTGTGAGCCGGGGCCACATCAGCTGGCTGCCTCCCGCATGCGCCCCGACGGGGGAGGGGGCCAAATCCCAGCCCAGGCCCGTGCCCTGGACCCTTCGGCGCTCCAAGGACTGAGCCGCACGGGCCAGGGCTGATCATTTGTGTGCTTTTGCCTTGTCAACAATGTAACTAGTTCAAACGTTACTAAAGGTAACTTTATCTACTTCCATGTCCTATGTACCAGTCTCCTCTATTTTGCCTTTTGGTCCATATAATTTACCCTCCTAAAAAACAGAAAAGGGAAGTGTGGCTTTCAGACTGAGTCACTGCTCCAGTGCGGCAGTGCCTCCTGCTTCCCAGTGTGACCTCCCGGTCACGGAGGCTTGGGAACCAGAGGAAGTAGAAGTGACTTATCCCAAGCCATCAGCTGCTTCAAGTCGGAGAGTTCGGCGCAGTCCGGTGCTCCTCCTGCCCCCTGGGAGCAGCCGCCTGAATAGCCAAGCGCTTCCCCTTCTCCAGCTCGGGAGGGGGCTGCAGAAACACTGTGTCCCCACCCCCACCCCAGGGCCCCTCTGCAGCCAGCTTCAGTGGCCAAGAGCAGCCCGAATCGGGGGCTCCAGACTCGGGGGTGGTCCTCAGCGGGTCTCTCGTGGTTTTGTTTGCAGGCCTGGCTGGCAGAGGTGGAGGGCAGGCTCCCGGCTCGCGGCGAGCAGTCCCGCAGGCAGAGCGGCCTGTACGACGCCCAGGCCACCCCGACGGTCAACAGCTGTGCGCAGGCCCGGGAGAGGTACAGTATCCGCACAGCCCTGCCCCGGGGGGCG